TGTAAACCTCAGCCTTGCAATATATATCCCTCCTCAAGTATTTTCCTTGGCTTTTGCCTCACTCTCACTTCTGGTCTCTAATGTTTTCTTCTCCTTGTTAAACAGCATTGCACTACTTTTGCATTAAGGATTCAATTGTTTGGATCAAATCAGTGGTGGGATTCAAATATGTGAACAATCCATCTCTGTATGGATGCTGCTTCTGGAAATCCATTCTGGGCCTGGGCAACAAAAAATTAGCTATTGGTTCTGCCGAAGTGGTGCAAACTAGCTGAATTCTTACCACTGGATCAGATGCTAAAAATAACTGGCTCTGATACAGCATAATCTAACTGAACTGATAAAATACAAGCAGAAGCACGTAAAAAAACATTTAGAATGTGCTGCTATGGTTACTTTCTGAAAAGAGGCCAATGCCTCTTCCAGCTTCAAAAACCTTAAAAGAAAAAAATGCCCAATGCTATAATCAATACTGGAATTGACTCTGAAACTACTTCAGAGGTTAAGAACCTCAGCACCACCACCCCAATAGCAAAACACTTCAATAGTGAAGAAGCAATACTTGAAACTGTAAGTACCATATCTGGGTCATAGCACAATGTCTGAGTTGACTTATATGGTCAATGATCTTCCATATATGTTGACCAAATGTGCAGCTCTGTTCAGATTTTTACTCCTAATGGAAGAAGGATTAATGAGAGTAATCATAAGTTTGAAAACCTCTATTGATTTTTCCGTCTACCAATTATTTTTTTTAAAAAACCCTTTCAAATAAGTACAAAATATGTTCAGAGCTTAATATTTATTCAAGAAGTATACTCTTTTATTAATCATAAGTTGGAAAAAGAATTATAGCTTTCTCAAAATTTAATCATTATTTGAATTGTTGTAGACTTTCTAAAAATGTGATTACATGAAATGACTACTAAAATGTATTTCATGAGTATTTGCTATTAGGTATTATTACATTCCTAAGTATACTATAAAATAAATTGTACTGATATTTAATACTGTTAATATTCCATCCCATCTATTAAAGCTAACAGTATTATCTCTGCTTTAAGTGTAATTTTATTGTAGTACAGTCTGGTATCAGATACAGCAAATACATCAGAATATATTTAAAAATATATTCCAATAATTTTACAGGGATTATTTGCACAAAATGTGTGACATGCATAGTTGTACAGGGTTTATGTCTCATATTTCTTGAGTCTGCAATTTTGTACATAGTTTTGATGGTGAGTACTATCTACACACACGCGCGCGCGCACCCACACCCCCACACACACACACACATATCCATGAATGTGGACCTACGCATCTTCACAATAATGTATTGGTCCTATTGGTTCAGTCCTCCACAACAATCCCAGTATCTCATGTGGCCCTTTTGAAAAAGTAATTGCCCACTCACTAGCACTCTTCATTTAACTTTTACCTTGTCTAATTTCAGTGTGCATAGAGAATAAGTTAGAAGGAATCTCAGAAACTCCAAAAAACAGAACAAAACATGATTTAATTCATGTTTTGCCCTCTATCCAATCAGTGTCTTGCACTTCATCCAAAGGATGTCAGTGAGAATTGTCATACAGCTATATCCAAATGTGGCACATAGAATAATATTTGCATATATTTTAAAACATTTTGTTTTGCTTCTTCTGCTATGATTGAGTCACCCATCTTTATAATCTCTTGACACCAGCTTCACCCATCTTCTGACACTTATTCTCCTTCCATGCAGAACTGATCTTTTCCAGGGATCAGTCTGAAGACATTCAGTTTCTAGATGATACTGCTTTCTTTCCTACTCCCATAGCAGCAAACAGTTATAGAAAGAGATCCTAAGAAAAGATTTATAGGGTCAGGCTTCTTCAATTATACTGCTGAGACTGCCATTTTTTATTCCTCCTGCAGATGCCAGTGTCTGAGGGCCAGTGGTGGGATTCAAATATGTGAACAACTAATTCTCTGTGTGGATGCCACTTCCGGAAACCCATTCAGGGCTTGGACAACAAAAAATTAACTACCGGTTATGCTGAACTGTTGCAAACTGGCTGAGGGCCAAGCACTCTTTTTAAATGATATGATTTTGTAATTCTAAGGTAAATGTGGATAAAAAATCTACTAAGATTTTATAAGCTTAATCTTAAATAATAACCACAATTAAACTGCATAGTATGATTATTATGCAATGGTTTATTGCTGTTTTGATGGATGCTTTATTAAAATAGCGTGTAGCATGATAGCATTACTAATTTTCTCTTGACTATTATAGTTTATTACAAATACTATATTTTTGTAACAGCCGGCACATAAATCATAAAGATAGCACTAAAATACTATATGCTGCATTGTGAGTTAGGTAAGATACAGTATTAGATGTTTACATCTTCTGAAGCCATGTAAATTCTCTTAATGTAAAAAAAAAAAACACAAGAAATTACAGACCTGCTTTTGTACTGAAATTCAAACACATTTTGTATCAATATTATGCAGACTTTATCTAATATATTAAGGAGAGCCAAGAACTTTAACTCCTTCAAATTAATAATGTGTTCCTTCTACTTTTGCAATGGTAGAAAGACAAAAAAGTGTGTTTATGTGTCTGTGTACAATCTTCAAACATTTTGCAAGCCCAGCCTCAGAAAGTTGCACATAATATGGTATGTTTCTAAATATTACATCCATACTTAATTTTCTAACGTGGAATTTATTGACTGAAATATTTAAATATGTGAGTTGGAATTCACATGTACACTCTCACATTAACAATTTAAATTAACAGAATATTGGTTGGAAGGGTTAGAAGGGATCTTGGAGGTCTTCTAGTCCAACCCACTGCTCAAGCAAAAGACCCCATACCATTTCAGACAAATGGTTCTCCAATCTTTTCTTAAAACCTCCAGTGATGGACACCCACAACTTTTGAAGACAAGCTGTTCCACTGATTAACTGTTAGGAAATGTCTCCTTATTTGTAGGTTAGTTCTTGGTTAATTTTCATCTATTGCTTCTTGCTGTGCCTTCAGGTGCTTTGGAGAAGAGGTTGATCCCCTCTTCTTTGTGGCAGCCCCTTAGATTTTGGAATATTACTAACATGTCACTCCTAGTTCTTTTCATTAAACTAGACCTGCAATTCCGGCAACCGTTCTTTGGATATGGTTCTGAGATCACATCTGCCAGCTCCTTTAGAATCTTGGGTATAATCCATCTGGTCCTGGTGATTTGAACTCATCCACAGTGGATAGGTGTTCTCTTACCATTTTCTTGCTTACTTTGACTTGCATTCCTAATCTGCACATTACTTTTGTTTAGACCAATAGTTTCCTTGACTTTTTTCTTATTTTTCACATGTTGAAATAAGCTTTTTTTTTTGTTATTTTTGACATTTGTGGCAAACCTTAGCTGATTTTGAGCCTTAGCTTTTCTGACTTTGCAGGTTCAGGCTGTTGTGGAAAAAACCACGATACTTACATCAGAAGACAAGACCACGAAGGGTTGGAGAAAACAGGCTTTATTTGTGCACAATGGTTCAGAGCATTCACATGACAAATTCTGAACCTTGAGCTATTCTCAGAGAGTAATTCTTATAGCATTAACCACCCACGCCTTAGCCTTAGGGTGGCTCTTATCTACCTTTGACACACTAAAACAGAGAAGTTTATATCTTGAAGCTACATAAGTAAAAGGAGAAGTTCACACAAACGGTTGTCTTACCACACCTTTCTGCACGGGTGCTATCTTACAACATCTGTGACTTTTAGTTGACACTGACACTTCTTGTAAAATGGTTTCTGTTGAGTCCGTGGCGGGAAAACAGACACGAGAAGCAGCTGGAGTTCTCAGTTTCATTTATTCAGCGTTCAGCTTACATGAAGATGGCTTCAGCCTCGCCCAAACGCCTCGCAGCCTCTTATATAGGCAACTCCCGGGTAAATGGGTTACTTTTCCCGCGCCAGCACCCGCGCATGCGCACGGCGCTGGCGACAGCCTGTCTGGTCCCGGGCAGCTTTGCACCTGCCCGGGACTGCCTGCAAACGCCCGAGCCGTTTGCAAAGGCTCGGGACATAACACCCCTTTCCCCCGGGCTAAAACTACTACCAACATACAACATTTATTTTATACGACATTTTGCTCCCCAGTGCTCCCACTGATTACTGGCTTTTGCCTTGCCAGCAATGTTATGTAATCTTCTAGATACTTAGGAGATTTCTTTGCTCTCTGTGACCTTCTTAGCTCTGGGTTACTGGCATAAGTCCCCTGACTGGAGGGAGGCGTGAGCCTGTTCTCTCTATTGTGTCCTGGTGTCTTCCAAGGACTGTGCCCCGATGCCTGGCCTGCTTGCTTGCCCACCGGGCTCGTCAGGCCAGGGCTTCTGTTACTTTGTGACCTGGTTGACCTACCTAGCTGTAGACCCTCAGGCCCCTTGAAGTGATAGCCGCTGCTGGGCGTCTCTGTAGAACCTCCTAGGTCAGTCCAAGACCTGTCAGGAGGCTGTCCATTCCCTGAACCCCATTCTGTGTTCGGGCTCGTGTGGGTTTCTGTACTTTCCCAAAACTCAGGTGTTCCCTGATTTGTGCTAGGGTTGTTGTAGTCGGGACTTGGTTCCTCGACTAACTCTGTGTATGTTTGACCCCCTGTAGGATTTGGGGTAAGGTCAGGCCAACCTTGGGAATTGTGTGCCAGTTCTCTTGCGGGGAATGATTTGTTGGGATGCCCCCGGGTATCCTCCGTTGCTGGAGTGCTGTGTGATGTGTGTGGAAAGTGAGTATGCCCCCGGGGTGACTCCCTGGCTGGAGTAGGCGTGAGTGCCTGTTGTGTGGGTAAGCTCCATGACTTTCTTTTCGGAGCAATTGCAGAACCTTGGGACGAGCCGTTTGTGGCTCCCTCAGTGGAGATGGGCAGTAGCTCTTGCCCTTCCCTTTGCTCCAAAGGGTCCCCCTCCCCCCCTGGAAAAGACCCAGGAGTCTCAGCAGAAAAGTCTCGCCTAGAGCGAAGTTGGTCGATGTGCCGACGCAGGACACGACCGTTGTCCAGGGCAACCTCGTAGGAGAGAGGACCTGTGATCCTGGACACAGAAGCGGGGACCCATGTATGACCAGGCCCGTAATTGCGAGCCCAAACCGGGGCACCCACAAGTAGTTGTCTAGGTGCCCTAGGATGTGAGGTAGATGAAGGCAGTCTGTCCGGATGCAACCGGTCAAGTCTAGTAGTAAGTTGGCGCCCCCAACGAAGTTCAGCTGGACTTCTCCCTGTAGAAGTGGACGGTGTGGTGCGATAAGAAAGGAGAAAGTCAGCCAACCTGTGATGCCAGTCCCCGTAGGTGAGTCTCTTCAAGGCGTCCTTTGCGATGCGCACCATGCGTTCAGCCATACCGTTGGTGGACGGGTGAAAAGGCGCAGACGTGGCATGACGAATCAGTTTGCCTGTAAGAAAGCTTGGAATTCGGAGGAGTGAATTGAGGGCCGTTGTTGGACACAATGACATCTGGCAGCCCGTGTGCAGCAAAAATCCCCCTCAGTACCTGAATAGTCTTTGCAGTGGTGGTGGATGAGACAGGCACAACCTCAAGCCATTTTGAATGGCTGTCAACAAGGACCAAGAAGAACTGGCCCTGAAAGGGCCCAGCGTAGTCAATGTGCACCCTAGACCATGGGGACTGTGTTTCCTCCCATCTATGCACAGGAGCTTGGGGCATCTCTGGGCGAGATCGTTGGCACAGGTGGCATGCGTGTACCTTAGCCTCAATATCTTTATCTAAAGCAGGCCACCACAAGTGGCTGCGTGCAAGAGCCTTCATACGAACAATGCCAGGATGACCCTCGTGGAGGGATTCTAAGACCCTAGTCCTCATTGAGGTGGGAATGACAACTCTGTTTCCCCAAAGCAGACAACCCTGAGAAAGGGACAGTTCGTTTCTTTTGGACCAGAAACTCTGAAACTCAGGACTAGGGCAGTGCTCAGGCCACCCGGACAGGACCCAGGAGCGGACACGTGAAAGTGTGTGATCTGTACCTGTTTCAGCGGTAACATCCCTGGCACTAAGAGGGAGCTCGGGCAAGGCTTGGATTGATAGAATGTTGACAGCTGGCGCGGGGTCAGCTTCTACTACTGGCAGAGGCAATCTACTGAGGCCATCAGCATGGCCCATTTCTTTCCCAGGCTTGTGGAGTAATGAAAAATCATATGCAGACAAGAAAATAGACCACCTAAGCATTCTAGGGGAAATGATGTGGGGAGTCTGCTTACGTGTGGTAAACAGTCCCAGCAGAGGCTTATGGTCAGTGAAGACCGTGAAATGCCTGCCATATAGAAAATCGTGGAATTTTTTAATTCCAGCAACAACAGCCAGAGCCTCCCTGTCTATCTGAGCGTAGTTGCGCTCGGCAGAAGACAGTGTTCTGGAGTAGTATGCAATAGGAACCTGAGTTCCATCAGACCTGAGGTGACTCAGGACAGCTCCAACCCCGTAGGGGGACGCATCACAAGCGATGCACACAGGGAGAGACTCGTTGAAATGTGCAAGAACACTGTTAGAAGTGAGCAAGGCCTTGACTTCTTTAAAGCAAGCCTCATGCACTTGTGACCACAGCCACACAGCCTGTTTGTCTAGTAGCCTGTGAAGAGGCTCAGCTACACTAGCTTTATGTGGAAGAAAAGAATTGTAGAAATTCAGGAGGCCTAGAAAGGCCTGAAGTTCGGCCTTAGACTTTGGCCTGGGTGCATCTAAAATAGCAGTTAGTTTGGATTCAGCAGGATGAATCCCAGCAGCATCAATTTTGAATCCCAGAAATTCAGTAGAAGGCACCCCAATCTGGCATTTGTCTTTTCTGAGCTTGAGGCCTGATTTCCTGAATCTTAACAGGACAGCCCTAAGCCTTTCAGCTAGAATGTGTGTGGAGTCTCCTGCAATCAAGACATCGTCAAAGTAGGGGCAGACCCCTGGTATACCTCGTAGTGTGTTTTCCATAACGCTTTGGAAAATCCCAGGAGCGACATTCACTCCAAACTGTAGCCTTTTTACTTTAAAGGCACCCCTGTGGGTCACAATGGTCTGAGCTATGGCAGCATCATCATCAACAGGCAGCTGTTGATATGCTTGAGCTAGGTCAAGCTTTGCAAAAACACGCCCCCCCTTGAGAGAGGCCAGGATGTGACTGACCACAGGAACAGGATAGGCATGTTGCTGCAATGCCTTATTGAGTGTGCATTTGTAATCAGCACAAATGCGAATGTCCCCATTTGCCTTTAGAGGCGTGACAATGGGGGTCTCCCACGGGCTGGAATCAACAGGTTCTAGGATTCCCTGTTGGATTAGTTTGTCTAGTTCAGTGTCAATCTTACTTTTTAAAGCAAAAGGGACCCTTCTTGCTTTAATCCTAATGGGAGTGACAGTGGGGTCTAGCTTTAAGGACACAGGTGGTCCTTTGAATGTGCCCAGCTGGGGGCTGAAAACATCTGCAAATTCTTTGCAGACTTCCTGTAGGTCGAGTGTTTGTAAGCTATTGAGTCCTGTGACGTGTATCCCCAGGGCCTCAAACCAATCGAGTCCTATGAGACTCGTTCGTTCACCCCCTACTACTAATAAGTCTAGTGGACCTTCAAAACTCTTGTATTGCACGTTAAGGGTGGCCTCCCCCTTAACACACACTCTTGAGTTCTGAAAATCTGTTAATACAATATCAGAAGGCCTTAACTTGGCCTTAGACCCACTTCTGGAACAAATCTTCCTAAATGTATGCAATGAAATGATGGACAGGGCAGACCCTGTGTCTAGTTCCATAGATAATGGAACCCCTTGTAGCTTCACGTTGAGTGACAGCTTTTTCTTCATGGGCTTGTGTGTGCCTGTTCTACAGATGCTTCTTCGCGAAGCGCAAAAACCTACCCTATTCTGGCTGGGGAATCTGGTACCCTTCAGGCGTTCTTCTTGGGGTTGTGCCTTTCGTCGGCCCAGGCACACAGCTGCAATATGCCCTTGTTTACCGCATGCCCGGCAGGTAGCGGAGCGGAACTTGCAGTCGGTTCTCCTGTGGCGACCTCCACAGCCGATGCACTTGAGCGGAGCCGAAGAGCTTCCCTTCTGGTTCTCTTCCCTCGCGGGGTGTAGACGGTCGACTTCCTCGTCCGGATCCTCCTCGGAGTTTCGTCGGACGTCTTCCTGGTGCACGGACGCACCCTCTGCACTGTTTCTGATCGGCCGCATGTTTTTGACGGCGCCGCCTGCTGCTTCTTCTGCGGTGACTTCCCTTAAGGCGTCTTGGAAGGATAATTCTTCCTTTGCGAAAAGTCTCTGTTGTAGCTCGCGATGCCTTAACCCGCACACGAATCGGTCCCTCAGTCGTTCCTCGAGGTCCTTGAACTCGCAGGGCTTGGCGGCCTTCCGTAACGCGGCGATGTATTCCTTGGCTGACTCACCGGACCGTTGATCTCTTTGTTCGAAGGTGTGGCGCCATGAGATAACGGACACCCTGGGGTTGAAGTGCTCCTTCAGCAGCTTCTTCAGGTCTGCGTAGCTTACAGACTCTACTGGGACAGGTGCTGCAAGGTTTTCTGCGATTTCGAAGGCGTCTTGGCCGCAAACGCAAAGCAGGGTGGCCGCCTTCAAGCTATCTTCCCTCACTTGGTTTGCCTTGAAGTAGTTCTCCATTCTGGATACGTAGGACTCCCACCGCTCTGGATGTGAGACGTCGAATTCCGAAAGCCTTCCGATTTTCGCCATCTTCGGATCTTCAGGAGACGGGTCTATCAGCCAGCCTACCCCCGAATGCGCACCGGATTGGCGGGCAGCTGCCGAGTCGACGCCGTTCCTCTTTCGCCGCTCAGGACTCCTTGGGTAAGCTTACACTTCTTCCTTTCCAGGTAGTGCAAGGCATCCCACCTTCGTCGCCAGTGTTGAGTCCGTGGCGGGAAAACAGACACGAGAAGCAGCTGGAGTTCTCAGTTTCTTTTATTCAGCGTTCAGCTTACAGGAAGATGGCTTCAGCCTCGCCCAAACGCCTCGCAGCCTCTTATATATGCAACTCCCGGGTAAATGGGTTACTTTTCCCGCGCCAGCACCCGCGCATGCGCACGGCGCTGGCGACAGCCTGTCTGGTCCCGGGCAGCTTTGCACCTGCCCGGGACTGCCTGCAAACGCCCGAGCCGTTTGCAAAGGCTCGGGACATAACAGTTTCTACATAGCATGAACACATCTCTATAATTATGACACACAGATTATATGATTTAGGTTACATTGCACAGCCAAACTTAATATTATCTATTAACTATTATCAGCAACAAGCATTTCTATTAAGATATAGATATATTTTAATGAACTTTGCCTGCCCACCTCAAGGCTACTTGCCTTGGTTATGTATCCCTTTTTTCACTTTTTATACTTTCAGTTTATAAGAGTCTTCTTTGTGCAACCTGCTGGTTTCTTTTGAGATCTCATATTTTTTTCTTCATTGGTACTGTATTGGACTGGTTTTTATAATCTCATTTTCTTGAATTGTTTTCCCCTTGAGAATTTTCATCCATCAAGTAGTAGCTTCCCAAGCTCTAAGTTTGTTGAAATTAGTCTCTTAAAGTCTCCAAGACTCTAGTTTGACTTTTTTCTATTCTTTGTGCTTGCATAAGGTTGAAATATCAATGTTGCCTGGTCATTCTCCATTGAGGTTCCTGTAACTTCAACACCTTCTATCATTTCTCTCTGCTAGTAAGAATTAAGTCCAGTATGGCTCTACTTCCCTTCTCTCATTTTTGGGGAGACAAAGTTATCTGCTAGGTTTGTCAGTAATCTGTTTGATCTTCCACTAAGTACAAAGCATGTCTCCCTGTTGATGTCAGATTCTTGGTTATCTTAATAATGCATCTCTTTTCTTTGGTTGCAGTAACATTAGGCAGGCACCTCTCCTCTGTCAAAATCCTTTCCTAAATTGACACTCTTACATTGAATCACCAGCTAGAAAGTGGGTTCTCTTTTTAGATACCGTATTCACTTTAAATGCCTGATTTGCAATGCCTGATTCACATCTTGCCTTATTCAAAACAACTTCTTCCTCATGGACCATAATCCCTTGCTTAGCTGAGTCATCATTGTCACCACAAACAGCGGAACCTATTACCTTATTATCTCCATTACGTTCAGCAAGAACACTATATCTATTATTCAGGGACTTACCAACAGCTTCATATTTATGATCCACAGCTCTCACTCTGACAGATCCCACAATTGTCACACTGCCCCTCTCCTGCAGGGTCTTTGTGGGGCAGCTCAATAGAATTCTATATTTAGTCATTTCTTATTTGCTCTTCAAGTATTTTTTTCACCTCAAAATCATGTCATTAAAGCAAATTTTGATACAAGCAATTATAGAAAATTAGACTGCATAATTCTATGTATTTTGAGATATGGAAAGCAGTGATATTTTATTGTTTCTTTCTCTGTTTATCTGACCTGTGCTTTGATCATTTGTGACAGGATGTTGAGTGCTGAGCCTAGTATTCAGGACTGAACTCTTGCCATGCAGCACTGAGTTGATTTTAGCTGGTTTGTTTGCCTGGCAGACTATTACAAACTACTACAAATATGAAATAAAACATAAATTTTACAAGGTTTTGAATGGGGTACTTTGTAAGACATTGGACACATATAAAGCATAGCTATGCTTTTTTATTCTATGTACAAAACAACACACATTGATTTGGTTTTTCCATTTCCTTTAGTTTTTGAATTCTGAGCAAAATAATCTTAAGCTTCTTTTAAGATTATTTGGCATCACTCTTATGTATACCCGATTTCATTCCAAAACCTCTTGTAAGCATTTATCCACAGGTTTCAATATTCAAACAGGAGGAATACATGAGTCTTCTGAAAGAATCAGAAGATTGGCTGGGTTTAACTTG